TTTTATTGGCCTTTGTAAAACATGCTGGCTCAGAGGGAAGGTTTAAAGTGGCAGAGAGAAGTTAGAGAGATATAGGATGCTGAGTAAAGAGGAAAACATTGGGTTTTCATAAACCATCATGTAACTAGATCATCGTATGATATTCATGCTGTGAGTTGAGGATTGATCAAAAAACATCTTCACCGAGTCTTTCTTGTGAAGGAGTCATCATATCTTTGGTCCCCCAGTAAGATAATCATGAGCTTTACATATATTATAGCAATACAATCCCTGGTGAATTGTCCAACCGATTAAAGTCATTTAGCTATAAATGGGATCAACAAATAATTGAAATCGGGTCAATAACAACTTGATGAGCAGTGTAAATTTTGTCTACATTTTCTCATAATATAACCAAATTCAAAGTATATATTTCTTACCAACATACATGCTGATAGCGTCAAATTGTGCATGGTGCGGTGTGGAGCACCCTCAACCTCATTTTGTATGGCGCAGTATGGGGGGCATAAAATGGCATTTTATTTGCTCTATTCGTAGGTAATATGCCATGCATGCATTATCCATGTATTATTTGAATGAAAGAAGCCACTCAGTGTTTCGTTTGGGGCAACTGCAACCTGTTAAAAAACTATTGCGCGATAGCTGTGCCAGGAAGCAGTTGCGTAGAAGCTGACTATCTATTTTTTGCAGTTTTACAATAGCTATGTTGTAGATGTTTCTGATCAAATGACATTTTTGCCTCTGTAGTAGTATATAATAGAATCAATTATGCTAGTACATTAAAATTGTCGTGTGCATTACCTTCTCAATTGACCATAACAAAAGTATAACACATTTTAAATTCACAAACAACCATGATATTTTGTTTTGGTGATTCGCAATGCTCGATGAATGTAAACTGCTCATTATTCGTCTCATATGCATCCACGTGTATTTCATCAATCGCTCCAGTACACTTCCTTTCAAATATTTTTTTTTTCATATAAATCTTCTTTGTAGATATCAACACCAATCGTGTTAAAATTCTATAAATCTTATTTGAGGCATTTAAAAGTAGAAATTGGAAGGTTGTCATAGGAGAAGGATATGAATGCCTTAAAAAATGCCTAGAAGATCATTGAGCTATCATACTAAAAATTTTTTTAGTATGTAAATTTGTTTTTCATTAAAATATAATATATATAGAAGCTTGAAATGATGTTAGGAAAGGTTAGTGGTAAAATGATATGCTCAATTCGATGAGATATCTTCTAAAATGATTTTTTCTCTTGCTATTAAAATGAATACATTTCATATTATAATTCTATAGCTGCTAACCTTGGATGGTCTATACAACAATATAATTTGAATATACCTTTTGATGTGGGGATATTGACAAAAAAAATGTATAGGAATCTTCTATCATGATTCAACAACTTTATGACATGTTTTTGAAATAATTTATCAGATTTACAAAGGCCATATATAGAGTGGGATATAAACAAAGACAAGACGATCTTACACGTCTAATAAAACATTATATTGGCTTAAAAATTGTGATTCTTATTGTCTCTTAATATGGTTATTATAGGTGATGCAATAAAAGAAAGGAATTACTTAGGATAATGCTCTCAGTAAAGTTTGAAATAAAAAATAAACTCGATATTCTTAAATATTTCATTGATATATTAGTGACTCAATTAAAAAAAAAAAACTCAAAAGGAAAATATGTTATTGTTATATTGTTTACCTAAAGACAAATAAATTAGAATAATGTTATAGGAGAACAGATAAATGACTTCAAAGAAACATAGGAGATTATTGAGCTATTAGAAGAAAAAGCTTTGTAGTAGGTTATTTTCTCGTTAAAATATAATGCAGATAAAAGTTTGAAACGATGTGAGGCAAGCCTAGTAGCAAAATGATATACTCAATTCTATGGGATATATTCTATAATTTTTTTTTCTTGGAATACAATTCATTATATAATTTATGTGGTTGCTAACCTTTTGCTAACCTTAAATGGGTTATAATTAGAATAATGTTATAGAAGGACATATAAATGACTTTAAAAAAACATAGGAGATTATTGAGCTATTAGAAGAAAAATTTTTGTAGTAAGTTATTTTCTCGTTAAAATATAATGCAGATAAAAGCTTAAAACGATATGAGGCAAGCCTAGTAGCAAAATGATATACTCAATTCTATGGGATATGTTTTATAATTTTTTTTTTTCTTGGAATACAATTCATAATATAATTTATGTGGTTGCTAACCTTTTGCTAACCTTAAATGGGTTATAAAACAATTTAATGTGAAAATACATATTTATTTGTGTCTGTTGATGAAAAAGTTTATAGGAATCTTCCATCATGATTCAAAAATTTTTTATATGGTTTTGAAACAATTTATCAAATTTATAGAGACCATATATAGGGGTGGGATATAAACAAAGACAAGAATATCATATACTTTTTATAAAAGATTATACTAACTGAAAAATTTTAATTCTTATAATATATGCTCATAATATAGTTATTATAGATGATGCAATAAAAGAAAGGAATTACAAAGGAACATGCTCTCGAGAAAACTTGAAATAAATTTTTTTTAAAAAAAGCGACAAGTTTAAATATTCATTGGTATATAAGTGACTTAATTAAAAAAAAAAGTAATTTTTTCCTCCAAACCGAAATATGTTATTGCTATATTGTATACCGGAATACAAAAATAGAAGTTAGAGTTAGAAGGATGTTATATGAGAAGAGATGAATTCCTTAAAAAAATCTAGGAGATCATTGATCTATCTAGGGCTATAAACGAGCCGAGCTTGAGCGAACTCAAGCTTGGCTCTTGTTTTGCTCGTTTGAAATTAATTATATTCAATTGGCTCGTGTTCGAAATTGCGCGTAAAGAGTGTGTTCATGTTCAACTCGATTTACATATTCTTGTTCGTGTTCAGCTCGTGTTATGCTCGAAATTGTCTCGTTTAAATTAACTAAAAAAAAATTATGTAGGGTGTGAGATTCAAATTTGCACCATTCTCATGCATTAAAAAATGCAAAACCACATAACCATACGAGCTGTAGTGATTTAATGTTAGATACAAATATATATGATATATTATTTTATAAGTAATATATATAATTTTCTTATTTTGAGTTAAAACAAGTCGAACACGTTTGAACAAAGAGTTGTTTGCGTTCAACTCTTTTATAATTTGAGCTTAAAAAAATTATTCATGTTTGCATCGCTTAACGAGCAATTCGAATGCAAGCCACCCAACGAGTCAAAAAACGAGTTGTTCGCAAATAAAGAACTCTTTGCAAACAATGAGTTTTTTTTATAGCCCTAGATCTATCAAAAGAAATTTTTTTGTAGTCGGTTATTTTCTCGTTAAAATTTAATGTAGATAGAAGCTTGAAATTATGTGAGCCATGGTTGGTATTAAAATGTTATACCTAATTCTATGGGATATATTCTTAAAAAAAAATTTCTCTTGCTGCTAGACTGCTAAAATGAATGTAATTCATATTATAATTTATATAGCGGCTAACTTTTGATGGTCCATACAAAAAAAAATAATATATATATATATAGGAATCGTCTCTCATGATTAACAACTTTAACATATGGTTTTGGAACAATCTGTCAGATTTACAATGGCCGGAAGACAAAATGCTTCATAAAATGTTTCTTTGATTGGAAAATTGTAATTCTTATTATATATATTCATATTATAGTTATAATAGGTGATGCAATGAAATAGATAAATTACTCAGGAAAATTCTTTCGGTAATGTTTGAAATAAAAAAACTCAGCAAGCTTAAATATTTCATTGGTATATAAGTGACTCAATCAAAAAAAGAATGTTTTATTTCCAAAACCAAATAAGTCTTTGTTGAATTGTATGCCGGAAGACAAAAATATAAATGGCTTTCCACTTGGTAGTTAGCGAATAATGCGTTCAAGAAAGTTGTTGATGGTAGTTTTTTTTTTTTTTGAAATTATTGTAATTAGTATATCTCTCTAACTATTGCATAGTTTTTATTTATTCTCTAGGTAGCTTTGTGTATAAACACCTATTTGAGGAACTTACAAATAAAAAATTTCAGCCACTTTTTCTTTTCTTTTTTAAGAAAGTATAAAGCTTTGTAGTTAACAAAATTATATTTTCCATACAATAAAATATCCAAAGTTTGCGTTTGAATGGGAACTCAATTAGGAAAAAGGTGCTTGTTATCCTTGAACTTAAGGTGATCCTGAATCAGGAAGGATTATGAAAAGAAGAATCTATCTCGAAAGAATGACATGATCTCGATGCTTCACTCTGATACAATGAAAGATGGATTAGATGATGAAACTATCAAGTTGGTATTTATAAAATGTATAGAGGTTCAGTGTACAGGAATCAATGTGCTAATAACTGTGTATTTATAAATATCAACTTAAAAATAAATAAATAGCAACTTGGCTGGAAAATACAAAAAAAGGAAGAGCTGGGTCAGGTTCATGTTTTAATGCCATACCATTTAATAGAATAAGATTGGGCATTAGGTTGGCACTTAAATTAACTTGTAATTTTTGGTCATAGAATTCCTCTGCTTAAGAATATGAATTAAAAGAAACAATTTCAAATGTCCTTGATTTCAGTATCTTTTTAAGCGGCGTATTTATCTTGTAAATCAGATGTTTTTCTTTGTTACGAATATTTTTTTCCATGTTATCAAACCAATCTTCTTTTCAGTAAGCTTTGATGGTTTTAGAATATTTTCTAGAATGATTATTCGAAAGCATGTGGTTCTTTTGAAGTTTTCCAGATATTGCAACTATTGAATTTAGGTGTACTTTTGGGTTTGGATTTTCTGATCAAAAATTGATTAGGATGCTTTTTATGGTCTTTAGATTTACTTTGAGATAAGCTAATATATAGATAATCAATCAAAATATATATTGTAGTAATCTCAAATCAGCATTGCATTATGTTGCCTGATGTCTTCTACTGATTGTATCTTCTGCAGAGGTTCCTCCCAGCAGAATTTGGTAATGACGTTGACAATGTTCATCCTGTCGATGCAGCAAAGAAATTATTTGATACGAAGGTCCAAATCCGTCGAATTATTGAGGCAGAGAATATCCCATACACGTTTGTTGTTGCCAACTTCACCGCGAGCTATTTCCTTCCCTCCATTGGGGAAGCTGGCCCCTGGAGTCCCCCAACCGAAAAGGTCGTCATCATGGGCGACGGCAACGCAAAGGGTAATTAGTTTTTAGGAAAATTTACATATGTAACACACAACTCTTATGTATTCACATATCTCACACCTAAACTTTCTTATTTATTTTCATCTCACTTTGATAATTCAAACCTATGCATGAAAATGTGTTAATTCTGCTATATTTGATGTGATATTAAAGATTTGATTGCAATGTATGTAAATGCCACTAATTTTTATTTCCTGAACACCCGGTTTTTATATGTATAGCTGACATTATTTGTTTCAGTAATCTTCAATTGCGAGGATGATATCGGCACGTACACGATGAAGGCTATCGATGACCCGAGGACCCTGAACAAGATTCTATATCTGAGACCTGCGGAGAACGTCTACTCTCAAAATGAACTTATCTCTCTTTGGGAGAAGAAGACCGGGAAGAAACTTGAGAGGATCTATGTTCCTGAAACTGAAGTACTGAAACAAATCCAAGGTCTGAAATGAATAATTGACTGATTTCTGTTGGGGTTTTTTGATAAAATTTTTATATAAAACCTTTATCATCATCTTCATTATCATACTTAACCTGCAATGTTAACAACTACTGGGAGTAACATAAATGAAGCAAATTTATATAAAAATCTTGGTGTTTTCTGCATGCTTTATTTTCTTTTATCCGTTTGTTTTGATGATTCCCATCAGCCTTAATCTTTCACTTTTATTTAAAAATTTCAATACATCTTTAATGCCTCGGTAAGGTGGTATACATGTAAAAATGAAGTTTAGATGTTAGACATGTAAATTCATAGGAATTGAGTTGTATATATGTAAATCTTTGATATTTTTCTTTCGCTCGCAGAGGCTCCGGAGCATCGAAAGCTTCCGCTGTCTATCCATCACACTGCATTTGTAAAGGGAGACCACACCAACTTTGAAATCGACCCAGAAAAGGGTGTGGAAGCAACCCAGCTCTATCCTGATGTCAAGTACACTACTGTGGATGAATATCTCAACAGGTTACTGTAGAACTTCTTCTATATTTTCTTTATATAAGGCTTTAATGCAGTAATTACTAATTCGTATATGATTATGTTACTTTATTTTATTTTTTATTTTTATTATTTTTCTTAGTTGACGTTTTGGTTATTTGTCTGGTTGAAGTTTGAGTGTGAACAACTAACTTTGGTTATAACTGTGGGTTTGTTGCTTATTTGATTGGCTTCATTTTGGAAAATTTAATGTACTTTATTCCTGTTTTGGTGCAGATAATTTGAAATAAAATTTAGATGCAAGTTAAATGAAATTTAGATTCAAGATTATATTTTGATTTGTTTGTTTATTTGAAGGAAGTTTGCATGCACGCCCCACAATTCCTTTAAATTTACATGTCTAACACCTAAACTTTGATATTTACATTTAAACACTTTGGAACCTATGCGTATATATATGTATAGCATGAATGAAAAGGTGTACTTTACTTTTAACAAGTTAGTAATGGTGGTGTTTTTGAAGTGATATTAAAGATATAGAATGTTATATTTATGTAAATAGAAAAGTATTTTGTGGTATGTATGTAAATGACCTTTCATTTTATTATGGCATTGGAGTATCTGCCACTGCTCACACTCGTCTATGGGTTTGGGTTGCCCTTGAATTGATAAGTAGTAGGCCTAAAAATAACACATCGTCACTATTGTTCAACATCACCAAACATGATCAGTACATGTTCCTGTTCCTGTTGTAGGGAAAACTTCTCAATGTTATGATTATCATTACAACATACCATCTCAATGTTATGATCATGATCATGATTATTACCGCCGACCACAATTTGAATATATAGGGCATGTTAGGGATAGTTTTCTGCCTGTTTTGTATTTCAAACCACCATTATAATTCTTTTTGGGGAACTATTTTCTTTTTGCCTTACAGAAATTTTTTTTGGTAGGAAGTTAATTTTTTTCAATTTGATCAATTAAAGTGTGGTGATTGTAAGGAAATTGTTGTCTAGTCATTTATAATTTCCAGAGCTTGACAATCACATTTTTAAAAGGTTGCAATCACCCTAAACCCTAAATTGACTCTACACCATCTACAAATTTTCATTTAAAATGAAGATATTAAGTTCGGGTCGAGTTACATATATACCACTCAATTTCTCATGTATTTACATATTTAACATCTAAATTGTATTTTTTGCATGTCGCTTTATCTATACATGAAAATGTGTATTTCACTTCTTAAAAGTTAAGTGACATTTTTTTTATGTGATATGAAAGATGTGGGTGTATAAATGTAAAAAAATAAAGTTAACGCCCCCTTAAAATGGTTGCTATGTATGTAAATGTGTAGGAATTTGGTGGTATGTAATTAAGTGACATTTTTTTTATGTGATATGAAAGATTTGGGGGTATAAGTGTAAAAAAATAAAGTTAACGTCCCCTTAAAATGGTTGTTATGTATGTAAATGTGTAGGAATTTGGTGGTATGTATGTAAATGCCCCCATAAAATTTTAACTTTTAACAAGATATTTCAACACCTAACGCATCTCATTTGGAAATTATTTCTGATATTATTAATGTTTTTGGGGTAAAGTTATCAGCTGTTATCTCAATCAATACAGGCAACAGCTTAAAGCTTAATCAAGATTGAAAGATTTTTTATTTTTTATTTTTAAATTTTACATAAATTCTACACGATTTGCAATTATATCCAGCATCTGAAATGTGATATTCACATTTATACCATTTTAATGTCACAAATCTATGCAAAACAGAGGTGGTTTTACTACTAAAGGTTGTTAATTATAATATTTTCAATGTTATGTGAAGGATGCGGGTCATGCATATAAAAAACACATGGTGACGTGGAGTGTTAGGTAAATACAGAAGAGTTATATGGCGGCTATGTAAAATTTCGACTCTAACAATTATTGGCCAGCACTGGCACCGCCAACCTTTTTAAACAATTCCATTTTTCTTTTCTTATTCATGCATCCAACCTCCAACCTTCTAGAATTTCACATGGGGGAGCCGTTGGCTTTTAATATTATTTTATCATTGTTAGTCATGGTATATTTTTTTTCTTTTTTTGGGGGTTGTTAATGACTTTATTTATTTATTTATTTTTAAATTTTGATATATATATATATATATATATATAGTTATAATGAGAGACACAAAATCTTCAAATGAAAATAGCCTCTAATCCTTCCACAAAAAACATTAACAAAAAGTTGAAACAAGAACAAATTTCACCATAAAGGTACATGAACAAAGCTGCAAAAAGAAGAAGAAGAACCAACGAAAAGAATAGCAAATACCAGGCAAAGTAAAAGCAGAAGAAACACTAGTAAAAAACAAGACAAAAGTAAAAGCAGAGGAAATAAAACAAAAAACCAAAGAGCTCATAACTTACGTGCTAAAAAGACATAAAATGTTGTCCAGTCTTCCAAATATATAAAATATATTCAGAAAGCGGTTGAATTTTTAAGGAAAGGTTGGCATTCATCAAAGCTCAATACTCAAATCCTAGTAAAAGGCAAAGATCTAGTAGGAACATCTATATAAAGAAACCGAATGAATAGACACTTTCATATCACACTCAAATCAGGTGCAAGCAGCACCAAATCACCAAACCAACCAAGAAATTACACTAGGAAAGCCAAAATAATAATAACAAAAAACCACTAAACTAAAACACGAATTCAATCCAACCTCTTAAATATATCAAAGAGTGGTTGAATTTACAAAAATGAAAGGCTTCCAAAAAGGCACAAAACCGTATTCCAGCGAAAGATATATGTATAGCAT